TGGCGGTAACACCGGTCAACGAGATTATTAGACTATTTTGCATTTAATACATTGCTAATACTTCTTCGGTCCACTGTGCCATAAAATTTTTACGACGTCATTAAAATGATTTACGACTTTAGGCGCTCAACTTGTTTAAGACGCCAGTGACGTGTATTTCAGCTAGGTTTATTAACACAGACAATTTTTTGAGATTGTCTGGCTAAATGAGCATTATTTACAGCAAATTATATTACAAATATTAAGAGTTTTGTATGCAGGCTAATTTTAATCTCCTATATTGATTTGAATGAAAAAAATTATTTCACAATTTTCGAATTTATAAAAGATATATTCACGCCCATGGAATCATAAAGTTGCACCGCTTTTTTTGTTCCCCAGGCGTATTTATCATTTTCAATTAAAATTAGAACGACTATACCTAATAATTTACTTAATTAACTTTAGTACATACTAGTAATATTATAACGTTTTTTTTTTATTTGTTGTAGGTAAGTGAATAAATAATCAACTAAACAAGTATTCAGTACTGCCGAGGACTGTTATGAGAAGTAAGTAACATACGAATATTGATAATATTATAAATTGTGTTTCAGAATGTAACACTTATTAATATCATAGCTAGATATTCCCTGTATAACACTAGAAAATCGATCTAACAGATAATAATATATGTATGTAATTCTAAGTACAATATTGTATGAAATCAGGAAGGAAACAATGGTGTCTCCTTCTATGATTCGAATATTATAATGCATTTTTTACCTCTAAAGGAGTTGTTGAATTAGAGATTGTCAGAAAATTAACAGAAGTTATGTACCCATAGGAAACTTACGTGATTTGACAGTAAAGAACATTTTCTATTGTCTCAAACAGACACACCGTATCCGAAATCTGTTTTAATCATAGTAATTTATATTCTATTTGAAACTATTATAATAATTGTGAAATTATTAAAAAATTGTAAAATAATTATTATTATGTACAATAATACTAACTTTGTTGAGCTGGTGGAATACCAGCATTGTTGCTACTAACGGACAAAGACGTCAGCGCAGAAAATAAAAAAATATTTTCAGTGGAAATGTCAAAACGAGTGGGATGAGGCAGAGACACAATATCAGAGGATACACTCCGATGTCATTATGTGGAAAACTTCACTAAAAATGGCCAGATGAGAACAAACTGTTGTTACTTAGACTAGGTCACACTCACCTGGCATTGCTGTAGTTACCAAGAAATGAAAGATCCCCGAGATGTCCCAGATGTAGAATCACCGTTAACCTTTAGAGGACGGGATATACTGGCTCAAAAAAAAGGTTTCTCGACTTTGTTCAAACATCATTACTTTGGAGTTTCAGGGTCGCCAATTACGAATCGGAAGTCAGATTTTAAAAATCCAAAATGGCGGATGGGACAAATCCTGTACAGTACGAATCACCCTAATGCGTACATAGCAGAATGAAGGGAAATTGCTAAGTTAACTTATATCTTGAATAGATGCCATCACCGCCTAAACATGGGGTGGGAACTTACGATCCAATCGCGAGTGCAGGTGTGCGGAGGCATCCGGTTTGTCAGTAGAGCTATTTGGATTGAAATTTGAAATAGCAATTTATATTTTATTCTGGTCGAGTTACTAATTAGGATAGTGCGTTATTACGAGGGTATTGTAGAAGCGCTACACATTTTTTATGACAGGCTAGGTTACTGTTTGGCTGAAGAAGGGGACCTATTTGAATATTTACTATAATTGCATTTCTTTTGCTTGCTTGAACTGTTAATTTTATTATTTGCAAGTACGGACTTACTTAAGTAAGTTACATACTCGTATAATAACACGCTCTTTTAGGGTCGAATCTTTCGACCCATATTAACTTTATACAAATAATAATTATTCAGTATTGTCACTTGTCAATGACCTGAGACAATGACAATGAGAATTTACTTATATTTCCATCTCACTCGTTCATAGCCAGAGTTGATGACGTTTTTTTTTTGGATATCCCTATATAACGGTATGCTAATAAGACGGTCGAAATTGGAACTTCGTTGCGCGTGACGTCATGTTGGAACCAGTTTTAACGTTGGAACAGTGTTTATACTGTTAATTCTTCATTAATTGTAAGGAACATTTTGACTTATTAAAGGTTATTTGAAGTGATACTGTATGTTTTTGAGTTTATAGTTTTGTTTGGTGTTTAGTGGTTTATTTGGATTTATTAATGGAGAAGGAGAATGTAATTAAAGACGTCGTGTTAAGTTTATACACAATTGACTAAATATGCCAGGTTGTGCAAAACCATACTGCTAATTTAAAAAAAATAAATGTCACTGTGTTCATATTCATTTTCTTATTAAAACAATTATTTTAATGTCTGTTATGTTCAATCTCAGTTATAAACCAGAATATATTACCTATACCTGTATGATTAGTAGTTAAATGTTTATTTTTTTGATAAATCATTTCTATGAATCGTTTTTTTCACTAATAAAAAACATTTACTTCTTGAAGTAAAATTTAAATCTTTTTTTTGTTTTTTTTTGTTTTCATTCAATCAATATAACAATTTAATAATCAACATAATTTTCAGTCGTTCTTCAAATAAAAAATGTGCGCAGCACATTTAATTAATATTTCAATGCTTTTATTTAATTTTAAGAATAATACCTATGTTTACAAAAAAAAGTTTGGTTCGTGTATCATTATAGCTAAATATTACTTCACAAATTGTTTCATATCCAAAAAGAAAAATATCAAAAAATGGACACATGCCACTAAATTCTGAATTTCATTTTCAAGCACATACAGAAAATATATACGAGTTTTTTATTCACAATGCTTACTTTATAAATATTACAATGTTTTAAAAATATAATATAAATTTGAAATGGAAAATTTAAAACAAAGTAGTTATTTTAAATTTACTAACTGCACGTAAAAAATAACAGCTGATTTCGTTTGTGCTAAACATACGTGAACATGAATAATTTCATTGGCTATTTTTTAAAACGGGTTACGTTGATCGGTTGAAACTTCAACACGATCGAAAATAGTTCATGTATGGCCGAATACGATTTGATGACCGAATATGGTTCCAATATGACGTCACTAGTGCGATAGAGATAGCGCTAGACATGCGCAATAGCATACCGTTACGCGTGTATGCTATTATGTATATATAGTATGTATGCGTGTACCGTTATACGTTACCGTTATGCCAGTACATCCTCCTCAAATAGCTATCCGCTGGATGCTAGTTTTGACATGCGCAGATGATACTAACACGAACTGGGTTGTTACGTCAGAATTCCGGCGAACGCAACAGAGGCGGACTCAGGTCACATTATTAAAAAAATAATAGTTCACAGAAAATACACCGTATTACACTAATGAATACTCAAATAAACGTAGTAATATAAAATTATCCTAAAACGCGAAGAAACTTTATTCACAAGTTATGAAGTTACAATGACAATTAGAATTTTAATTATCAGTTATAAAAGTAGATCATACAGCATCCGTATTGTTGCCATAGATCACAAGTCGGTGATAGCAGTATACTAGAAACATTAGCTGGTAATCTCCTTACTGTACCATAATGACCTATATTATTGCAACTTTCTTCGTCTCTTGTTAGACAATTGCAGTTTTCTTACAAATGATTTGGTATTACTTAATGAATTTTACCTTCAAATCGACGAAATATTTGCGGCTTACTTTCCAGTTCTTTATACCTTCCAAACATGTATTTGGAATAGGTATGCCCTCGGAATATGAATACATCATACCTAATATCATAAAATTCTAGACACCTCGACATAGCGTCGGTATCTAGAATTTTACGATAAGTTATGATGTCTTCCTGTTTTAAGGGTATACCTGTTCCAAATACACTTTCCCATAATACCTGTTTTAAGACAAGCCTCTAATATTTCGTTTAAAAGGAAAATTCATTAAGGAACACAAAATAGGCTGTAGCAAAACTGAAACTGTTTAACCAGAGACGAAAAAAGTTGCAAAAGACCTCATACGATAGGTAAAAAGTAATTTTACTTTTTGTATTGAACATTTTGTAAGTGTTTGTGGGTAAGTCATTTTAAGTTTCATTAAGGTTTCACAACTAAATACCACTCTGTCATGTAGTAGTTAACCCCCCAGTACGTTTGTTCGAATATTTACTCCTGTATATTTTGTGAAATATCGCTTTGCAATAATAGTGACCTGAGTCCGACTCTGTTTCGACTCGCTGGAACTGTACGTAGTTTCTGTCTTGTTTCGCTGTTGTCACATCAACATAATATTCCTATTACACATTTTAAAATTGTTTCACAATAAAGTTGAAATACGATAACAGAAGACCTTTTTATACGCAACACAGACTGAAAATGAAATTGGCTTATATTAATTATCGTACATCAATAAATTTTTATCCGTTAATCCGTTATCTTAAAATCCGCCATTTTATATCCACCATTTTGAATTGTAGAAGTCTGATTTCATAACACCTATGTACAGTAACCCCTTAAATTCTATATACATAATTTCATTATTATAATGCATTATTTTTTGTTTCAGCAACTGTTAACTATCATCCGCCATTTTTAGGACATTTTTTCAGTCATTTGGAAGTCAAATAATTGAATGTTTTCATAGGGCAAAAATTTAACATTAGCGTTACCCCTTCCCGACGGGAAATCAGTACAGTCCACAGTACCTTCTTATTTCGAGGTTAGGGCCCAACCCATGATCAATCTGTGATATAAGAATTAAAGTAGAACATCTCCTGGTGGAATGTCCCATTTACTTACATTTTCGAAATGCTGTTGGCTTAAGGAAGTTGCTACAGTAACCCATATAATAACTGAGTAAATAAATAATTAAATAAATAAAACCACTAAAATGACATTTTCCTTCTAAGAATTATTTACGATTGTGCAGGAGGGAGAATGGGAAAGATGTAGGATATACAACCAAATCCTGTGACAGATGCTAAAATTGCCACAGGCGGGATTCGAACCCGCGCGGATAAATAACTCGGATTCGTAGAGCCTCCTTAGACATGTGAGCTTTACCCATTGAGCTATCGCCGCGGTATGCTAGGTATCTAGCAAACAAACAAGATATTATTATTAAAAAATTTCAAAATTACTTTAGCGCGAATTTTTCACAAAATATGAAATCATTCTCTATCTTTTTACATAATTTACATGATAATCAATAACATGTTTACCCAGAGTAAATCTACGTCTAATGTCAGAGTCAACGGCTAATGGCCTCAGCTGTCAGATGCCGTAAATAAAACAAATATATATATCATTGTTGGGTTACAACCTAAATAAAAAATTGTCAGGTCAACAAGTGATGGAACCAGAAGGAATCTAGAAGTACTGTGAAAATATGTACTGAAGGGCAACTTGTGTTTTCTCAATTATATAAAAATATAGTGAACCCCAACTCACTATGCTCCCATTGCCTAAAACTGTATTGTAAAATTCCCTACTTAAATGCCGACTTCATATTCGTTCTGCATTTACTCTAAAATATCGATCAGTGTACTTATTGGATATTTAGCCTTACAAGACAAGAAGAAGATATTAATAGTTTCAATATAGGTACTTTTAAACAAAATACGATTAATGCAGTATCTTTGGAGAAGCACATATTTTTTGTTTGAATTATATTTCAAGATCATGTATGGAAGGAAGTGAAGTCATGCAAGTCAAGTAAGTCAAATTACGAAAAAAATCATGTTAGTAAATATTCCTCCACCTCAAAATCCTACAAAACAATATGTCACCTGAACATTACATTATTATTCGAATACGCTTCCACGTACCCCCAATGGTACAACGAATAACAACATGCACTAAAAGAAAATTAATTCATAATTAAAAATTATATTTATACAAATTTGAAATAATTTTTAATAAATTATATGTATTATTTTAATTCTCTCCTTGCCCCTGACAGGTGGTAGAAGAATAGTAAAATTGTTTAGAACTCTGTACACGCATACTTAACGGGTAGAGCTCTACAGGCTGAACATCAAAATCTGCAAGAATTGAACTGAATTTGAATTGATTTTACTGATCTTCACACTTGAATACTTCACACTAGGCATGTGCGAGATCTCGAAAATCTCGAGATCTCGATCCTCGAGACGAGAAAAAAAGTCGAGATGAGACGAGATGAGACTCTCGGTTAGTCGAGATGTCTCGAGATCTCGAGATTTCTCGAGATTCTGAGATTTCTCGAGATTCCGAGACTTCTTGAGATCTCGAGCATACTTAAGATCTCGAGATTCCGAGATTTCTTGAGATGTCGAGATTACTTGAGATCCCGAGATTTCTCGAGATTCCGAGATTTCTTGAGATCTTATTATTATAATATCTTAGTATTTTTAAAAATACCGAGATTATTAAAATCCCAAAATTCATTTACTATTTGAAATTTCCCGGAGAATATGCAAAATATGAAACTTAAGGTAAATAGCGGAGACAATCTTTCAATTAGGAACTGTTACGTCTCGTAACGTAATTTTTTACATACGTATCGAGCTTTACACCGACGCTGGATCGATACAAATTAAAATCGAACTCAGCATTTTGAAATCGATGACCGATTTCCTAAATGCTGAGTTAAACCAAAATGTTAAACCAAAGTGCAATACGTTTTCTTTAATTTAATGTGTTTTGTTAGCCGACCTTTGAATTTAAACAACTGTAAGTATTATTATCTACATTAATTTCACCTCTTTTTCGAGAAATTTCAATATATCAAGAAATCTCGGTATCTCGAAAATCTCTTATCTCAAAATCTCGCGATCTCAAAATCGGGATCTCGAGAAATCTCAACTGACTGAGAATCTCGTCTCGTCTCGTCTCGAAAAATGACTTCTCGTCTCGTCTCGAAAATTTGAAATCTCGCACATGCCTACTTTACACCAATTAACACCGAAACGCTTTTTCTGCACTCAACGCGCCTTTCGCCAACCATGTTGGCATCATCAGAAGACGATTAAAACTAAAGGTCAATCAAATTATATATCATATTTATACTAGTTACCGTTGTGGTTCACTGACTCGTGAAAGCCGCTGTTCGATGCGCCACGCCGCAGAGTGGGAGATTTCGTGCTTTATTTTCCAAAAACCTAATATCTCGAGAACAAAACAAGATAATCCAATAATTCTTTTTGGACGTCGAAGCTAGGATCATGAAGAATAGAAAAAAAAGTATTAAGAAATTCCGTATATTAAAACCTAACCTATAAAAAAATAATTCCTGTGTATCGAAATCTAACCTTAAAAGTGATAATAAATCTCGAAATACTTTAATACTTACAGTTAAATTTTAAATATCTCCAAAGTAAAACAAGATAGACTTGTCAATCTGTGTGCGCTGCAATTAATGGTCCACAACGGCATCCGAAGGCTTCAATGCGTCAATACAACGTGGGTAGTCCGTTTGAAAGATTTGCCATCGATGTAGCATGTCCATTTCCGGAAACTAGATAATGGAAACAAATACATTGTCGTCGTGATGGATTATTTCAGCAAATGGGTAGAAGCGTATGCCCTTCCAAACCACGAGGCTTCTACTGTAGCAGACGCTCTCATTAAAGACTGGATTTGTCGTTTTGGTGTACCCCTGGAATTACACTCGGACTAGAGAAGAAATTTCGAGTCCACTCTGATGTCTGCCGCACACTCAATATCCGTAAGACGAGTGCAACTGCGCTGTCCCGCAGTCGGATGGAATGGTGGAGCGAATGAATAGGACCATCATCCGGTACTTATCCAAAGTAGTTTCCGACCACCAGAGGGACTGGGACGAGGTTCTTCACCTGTTCCTGCTAGTCTACCGGTCGTCAGTTCACGAAACAATGGGGTAAACACCTGCAAGAATCGTCATGGGCCGTGAACTACGTTTACCATGTGACCTGAAGTTCGGCTGTATACCAGGAGACGACGTGGTGTCCGTCTTCTATTTGGTAACCAAGCTGTCACACCACAAACCAACTTATCGAAATGTCTGGGATACACTAGTCGAACTGAGGGAGGTGCTCTTGACCCAGAATATAAGCAGTCGATACAGGCGATAACGAAGATATCCAGCGGACTAGATGGCCTGGATTGGAGGGTGATAAGAAGTATGCTGGTAGTCCTTTTCCAGTTTACTGGAATCGATATTCTGGTATGCTGCTACAACCCCAGGAGATCGCCCAACGAGAAAACTGTTTCTTCTACCGGACGTCTATGCAAGAATTGACCATACTGCAAGTATCGTCACGGACCAGCAGAGGATGGTACAATTCGAGACTAGATGTTTTTAAGGAGGTGGCAGTGTGGCGATCCCACCGTGGCAACCTACGTCCACCTCGGTAAACAATAAACACCTGTGTGTGAGGTACGGGAGAGTTCCGTATGAATCTGGATTATAGGGAAATGGAAAGGGCTGGCGGCTGCTGGCGCTTTCACGATCCTTCTAAATGGATATTTATAAGACAACCGACAAAAGGACAGTCTTTCTTTGGGTATTGTGTGTCGCGGTCTTCGTAAAATAATCGAATATAAATTGTATAAAAATAAATTAGTATTAGTAATATAGTGTGTAAGCCGTATTTGTATTTGTTGAAATAAATAGTGTTAGTTGTAAGCGCGAGTTTAAGGTTTTCACACCTTACGAACTCATAGTTAACAAAACGTTACAATAGGACTTATGGTGTCTTGTATTTTCAATAACGTCGAAAATACTTAATAAGAGGTCCTGAATTTCTTTTTAGTTACCCCATGTTCCAGTTACCCCCTGTTCATAATCAGTACTCGAGGCGGGAGACATTCCGGTCATGCGAAAAATTGCTTTCAAAAGATAACCAGAAAACAAGTTTATGCAAAATACGATCATTGCTGTGCTTTGCGTTCTTTTGAAATATTCAGTTGTATTTATATATCGTCATATTTATTTCATGAAATTTATTTATTATACTTTAATTTATTTATTATACTTTAAATATTTTATATTATGTACTGGAAGTGTTACATAGAGTCATTAAATTTTTAACAAAGCCGTGTTAAAAATTAATATAAAGACTTCATTAACAAGGCTTTTTCTGTCACCTCATGTACTTTATATTATAAAATATACAGAAATAAAGGAACAGTACCGATAACGTAATATTGCTAACTAAACTAACTAAAGCTAACTAAAATGGAGAACTTTGTAAAAAAAACTGCAAACTTCAAAATTGCTTCAGAAATTGTGTTACTTCTCAAACACAAACAAAAAACACATATTTTTAGTTATTACCCCCAACCTATATAATAAACATTATCCTATCAATCCTCTAATGTAATTTAACTTACTTCAAAAATTCATTCGTCAAATGGACAAATTGCTCAGGCTCAGGAGAGGGAGGAAATTCGTCCTGTCACAAAACCTTTCTTACAATATGACATATTTGTAATAATCATATGCAATTCTAGCCATTTCTAATTATATTATAAGACAGTCCTAATGCAGCGATGTTCTTGGTGAATCTCGTCGTCATCACTCCCTCTGCCGATATTACTAGGGCGTATCTCTCCACCTTTTCCAGTTTATAAGCGCTTCAGTTCGATATATACATTTTCGTATTTCGCGATATTCTCTCGTTCCACTTCGTTTCGCGATTTTCTGAATGTTGTGGATAAGTGGCACTGCGATGTCTATGATGATCCCTCTTCGTTGTTTCTTGTTGATCAGCACAATATCTGGTCGGTTGAAGTCCACTCTTCGGTCGGTGATGATTAGTCTGTCCCAGTACACATCACTGCTGCTTCCGATTCCAGCACAACTTCCGGAGTATATTTGTAGTATGGCGGAGCCGTCGCGAACAGGCCATACTTGAGTGCCAGTTGTTGGTGGACCATCTTCGCAAGTTGGTTGTGTCTGCCGAGATATGTTGACTCTGCTAGCATGGGACACCCTCCTATTATGTGTTCTATAGTTTCGCCAGATAGCCATCGGTGAGCTATTTTAATGAATTATCTTTGTCTATGTGGTCTGCCTGTAGCATTTTTGGAAAACGGCCCTGTAAAACATATTCCATCCA